CCCCCCCCCTTAAAAAAAAAAAATTAAATAATTTTATTGTTTGTTTTTACGTGCGCGTATGTGTGTTTTTTTTTGTTTTTTTTTTGCTTTCTTTCTCCCGTTTGTTTTCGTCGTTTGCTAGTAAATTTGAGAACCTTTCCCAGAAACTCGTCGTAATTCGAGAATTTTCCTTAGTCTCATTACATAATTATCTTGTGTTGAAAGATCATTATTCCTATATCTGTAAAAAAAATATTGCCAGTAGAAGGACGAACACGATGCATATGGTCTCTCATCTTAATACATGTATATAATAAAACATAAGTTAATTGTGTGATTATTTTATATAACTTTGATATCACCACTTGCATGTTCTTCAACAGTCATCCCTGTGAAGAACGCGGTGCCTATCATCATGGGAGCTAACATCGGCACCTCAGTGACCAACACAATCGTATCGTTGGCCCAAGCTAGCAACAGGAACGAATTCAGGCTGGCTTTTTCTGGGGCTACGGTAAGTTGGCTGCAAAATGTTCTAAAAGCTGTGCAGAGTATGTTTTTCAACCATGTGACTCAAGCACAATAGTTGGGCCATATATCAATGCATCTCTGCGTCTCTGATCGAGTTTTGGACAAACATCGTAGAGGCTGGTCAGAAGTGCGGTAAAGACACACTCTGCTATCGATATGTGTCTATAACGCCAGTGCTGTCTATTGTGTCTATTTCCTTTAACTTTCTATTAGGTAGAGACTAACTGGTTTCATGTTGACATTCCTATACAGAAACCCATCTACAGCTAATGTATTTAAGTTCCTATTCGAACAAACTTTACTCATTAGTAAACCTAAAATCAACTTCAAGTCTACCTTTGTGTCTAATCACAGGTGCACGATATGTTCAACTGGCTGACCGTCATCATCTTGCTGCCGCTAGAGATTGCTGTTGGCTATCTCCAATGGCTGTCCGGTTTGCTGGTAGACTCGATGGGTCTGGAAGCGGGCAATCAGCAGAAAGCCCCAGACATGCTGAAAGCCATCACAGAACCTGTCATCGATGCCATAGTTCAGGTAAGGTCACATACAATATATTGAGGTATCTTTCTTATTACATATGTGAAATTAAACTCACACTGACATCAGCGTCGGGTCTGGGAATTGCTCCATAAACCATGCGCACACAAAAAAACACAGACGAATACATTAAGTTTTTACGTTGAAAAGACATTGCACACTATGAAAATAAAAATGTCCATTTATTTTGATTAATACATGAATGTTTTTATTAACTTATATATAACGCACCCTTCATCAGTTTAAAGAAGTGCCTCAAAAATAATGGTATTTGTTTCCCTATTTTAATTCAGATACTTTATGTGCATACTTTTTATAATCAACAGATTAATAAAAACGCAATCAGCGATTCTGCAGCGAACTCGAACGCCTCCAGCGGCGACGTCTTGAAGCGATGGTGCAAGACTGAAATCCAGTCCGTCAACAAGTCCAGAATCAATACAGACTACGCGGTAATCGACTGTCATGACCGAGGCCTGGTGGCTTCCATGAGGAAGATCTGTGACGAAGTCAACGCTGATTCGAAGACAGCTGTAAGAAATGTAACACTTAGCGCAGAATGGGACACGTATTATGTGGCTAACGAGACGAAAGATATTGAAAGATGTAAGTGCACGCTTACCATTTCAACATTTATTTCATTCAGTTTAACTACCTCCGCTGGTTTACCGTGTCTATGGGTTTTTATCGACTAGGAATTATTCAAAAATTGTATAAATACTTTTTTTTTTCAAGATTTCCTAAACACCAACAATTGGATCGAAACACGAGACTAAAATAAAAAATTCGAAGTTATATTAAAAGTTTGGGCAGAAAACATTAATTACGTCATTTTAAAATTTTCCTGGACGAATAAGCTATTGATGAAAAGGCTTGATTTAATATCATTTAGCGAAACACGTCATTGTGTAATGTTACCCTTTATTCCAGTTATTATTGGCATTCGAGGCAAATGTTCAACGCATATTATAAGGCCATTAACATGCAAAAAGGGTATAAGCTGTATTTTTACTATCAAACACCGTATGATCCTCACATACATGTGTCATGGCTTATACATTCCAGGTGACAGTCTTTTTTCCAAAACTGATCTTGGTGACGCAGCAACCGGCGCCATCATCCTCGTCTGCGCCCTGGTGCTCTTGCTCCTCGCTCTCTTCCTCATTGTCAAGATCCTCAACTCGATGCTGTCGGGCTCTGTGAGCAGGGTCATCAAGAAGACCATCAACGCAGACTTCCCCGGACCGTTCGCCTACTTCACGGGTTACGTCGCCCTGCTGGTCGGCTGCGGCATGACCATGATCGTCCAGAGCAGTTCCGTCTTCACATCGACCTTGACCCCGCTGGTCGGCATCGGCATCGTCTCTGTGGACCGGATGTACCCGATGACTTTGGGCTCCAACATCGGAACGACCATCACTGCGATCCTGGCCGCCCTTTCTCAAAGCGGCGAGAAGCTGCGACTCGCTCTTCAGATCGCGATGTGTCATCTTTTTTTCAACATCAGCGGCATTCTTCTCTTCTATCCCGTACCTTTCATGCGCTGGCCGATCACTCTGGCGAAGGCCCTGGGTAAAACAACCTCTAAACACAGATGGTTTGCCATTTTCTACATCATCTTAATGTTCATCCTACTGCCAGCCTTCATCTTCGCCCTCTCTCTGGCTGGTTGGATCTACCTCGGCGCCATCGGGGGTCCGTTGCTCCTCTTCTTTTTCATCGTCGCCGTCATTAACATTTTACAAAAGAAAAAGCCCGCGTTTCTCCCGGTGAAACTCCGCAGCTGGGAGTTCCTCCCCTTGTGTTGCCACTCGCTGAAGCCGGTCGACAGACTCATCGAACGTGTTTTTACGTGTAAATACTGCCAGACACTTCAAGAGTCTTCGAAGGCGGACAGCGACGAATCTGTGAACATAGAAATAACGGGAGAGGGTCCCGTACCCGATGACCGCAATGAACACGTCGTCGTCTGCAAAACCAAGGATCAACGCGATGCAAATTTGAGCATCAAAATCAAAGACTCTCACATCTCTGTAACCGGACCTCACAAAGACAACGGAGTTATTAACGACGGGTTTCAGCATGATACGACAACTCGCTTTTAATGATCATTGCCCAATGTTAACTCATGCGAACAAGTCGTCATTTCATCATCTCCTATTTGTGCTGAATCTCTTTGCATTAACTTTCGCTGTCTAGTTTTTAAACACAAAAATAATCTCCTTTGAAGTCTACATGATATATTATTCAAATTTAAGGAGGCTAGAAAAAAAAAAGTGGGAGGGGGGGTATTTATTTTATAACAGACCTTGGCAACATTAAAAACAAAAAAAATTGATTAGACGTTTTTCTGGTGGCCAGGGAAACAAAATATAATGCACTAACTGAACTGTCTTTCATCGTAAACTTCCTCTTTGATAATATTTAAGATAATATTCAAATTATTTCACATTGTCATGCACAATAATTAAAACTTAATTTAAGAAATGCTTTGTAAATATTTGTACATTTTTTTATTTAAAAAAAAATATCAATGAAAAATAATTAAAGACTATAAAATCAATTGACTCGTTGGCCTACATTAAATCGCTAACATCGTCCTTGTTTAAGACCCCATTTCGAGACGTTGCTGCATCTCATTCTTGAAAAGTGTGTTGTTATCTCGGCCAAAGTCTCAAGCCTGGCGCTTAGACATTCGTGTGCCTTCAACAACTTCACTAGAGCCATATCAACATCAAAATGCTATTAATGTGCATTATTTCTATAATCCAGCCATCTTTATACTGCAATCTTGGGTTGATGATTTTTTCGACACCGGTACGTCTTTAAACCGCTTGATTGAAGAACAATGTCATCTTACAAATCAGAACCAGACACCTACAGTTTATTAAAGCAAACGGGGTCTATAGGTTGAACTAGGATGTGCTACTATGATATATTGTCTTTCTTTGCTGTTGAAGGCTTGCAGCCAAATCGTCGCCGCCCCCCCCCCCCCCACCGTATTTGTTTTTTTTTTCTTCAGTTACTCCCTTACATTTGTGCTCGGTTTCTTATTGCTGGAACCGGGACGCAGTTTTCCCCATTTTATACTACTGAAATGTGTCACAATTTGACATGTGTGTATAGGTGTGCATGTGATTCTTTGAGATATGTTTGTGAAGACTAAATGTTTTGTTTCATATATCACAGGAAGATATTTCAATAAAATGTTTTATTTAATTTGCAGTGTGTGATTTTTTTTTTAATTTTGTATTTGTTATTTTATTTTATGTGTGTGTTCAAAAACATTTCCAGCAGATACAATTCTAGTTCTTAGCTTACAACTTGGAACCAAAGTCATTAAGAAGTATTCTAACGTTTTGTTTTTTTTAAAATTAAAATTTAAAGATATAAGGGGGAAAAAAAAGAACAAGATGATAAGCGGAAAGAATTATTTTTTAAAGTAACAAAAAACAATTTTTTTTTTAGATTAGCTAAATACTTTCTCATTTAATAGATTTCATTTTATTCCCAGTTTTTTTTTAAAATATAACTATTCCACTTTACATTTCTTCTTATTGACAAGTGTAATTTTAAGTGAACTAAACTTTCCACTCAGTGATGGGATGTTTTTGCTTCGAATAATACACTTTCAATGACGTCATTTTAGTCCGGAAAGAAGATTACCAGGAAAAACAGAAACAGTTTTGTAATTCCTCAAACATCAATTTGTTGCCATTGATTTTGAGTGGACTTTATGCTGCATCGTTCTTTCCACTAATCAAAAAAAAAAAAAAAAAAAAAAAAAAAAAAAAATCTAATTAAAAAAACAAAAAATAAAAATAAAAAAAAAAAAAAAAAAAAAAAAAAAAAAAAAAAAAAAAAATCTCATTGAAAAATCTGAGGTTATCGTTATAAACCTATAAAGAAAAGTGTTTAATAAATTGTAAAACATTTTAAAAAAATATTTTTGTTGCAGTTGTATCATCAGCTCTATGTTTAAATTTTCAATAAAATGAATTCTCTCTATGACCAACCCAGCGTGGAGTCTGTTCCGTAGTGCACGTATCAAAAATAATAAATCTCAAATCATAATTCTCTTGCTATGCATGGCAGTAACGCAATTTTAAATGGGCGCGATGCAGGTTGCTAATTTGTCTTCAGTAGGCGCCTACCATAAATGTCCTATTAATTTGTAAATGGGATTTTTATTAATTAAGATTCATTTTTTTTTGGTGTAAATTCACTCATGCTCACTCATTGCCGCCGCCATGGTTGATCGGGTTATTTCTAGTATTTACAATTTTTTTTTCTAAACCTTATTATTCTATCTAGGCGTGAACAAATGTACTCTTAAATCTATAACTTCTCCAACTGCGTCACTAAGATTCAATCAAAACGTCCATTTTTTTTTTTTAATCTTATCATGATTTCAGGAGTGGCATGGTAACGTCACTCACTGTCAACCTATCGTCCAGTCAACCGCAACGATGCGATGCCCACGGCCTAGCCAGCAGTCCCTCCACGAGACGTGTCAACTCTGGCACACGTGGGCCACGCACTGACGGACATTCCTACCTTTTTTGAGTGACGCATGAGTGGTTCCCAAGGGGGGGGGGGGGAATCTGCGTCCCTTTTCTGACCGGTCTTAAGCCGTGAGCCTTAGGCGTACATGGAAATGAACTCTTACAAAATGTATAAAATGATCAGGCCAACGATTGTAAGCACCGATCATCATCTCAACAGTTTTTACTTCAGTCCACAAACTCGACATCCCAGCATCAAAGTGAGTTGTAGTGATTTTTTTTTTCTTATTTATGCTCTGTTATGGCGCAAATTTTTGTTGTAAAAGATAGGTCTCTCTTGTCACTCAACGTTCACACGACACTGCAAGGAATCAGTATTCAAGATAGTTTTTTTTTTAAATTCTTTATGCAGAAAGGGAGATAGTTAATAAAATTTGCTTAATCAAATTTATGTGAATATTTTCAAATATTTTTTATTTAAAATTAAGCCGCATTGTTTGTTGGCATAAATTGATAATTATTTAATTTTAAAGTTGGTGAAAATAAATTTCTGAAATTTAAAAAAAAAAAATTGTTATAGATTGGTGACCGGTTTAAGTGCGTACATGATTTTAGTGTATTTTTTTGTAATTTTGAACATAGGCCTAACTTTTAGATAAGCGTGGGGCCGATTTTTTGGGGGGGGTTGGGGTGGGGGGTGAAATCTGTATTACTTTCCTCATTCAAAAACAATTTTTAAAAATTGTTTTTTTTTCATTTGTTAAAGGGCCCCAGAGCCTTTTTAGTTCTTTTAAAGCAAATATTTCATTAAAAATATAGTGTACCTAAAATAATGTTTAAACACAAAATCTCCTTTAAATATCAAATTGTGTTTGAACTTCAAAATTTCATTTTGAATATAACAAAACTTTTGATATATACAAAAACAACTAAATAATTAATTTAAATAATTTTTAAACAGGTTTTAGTGAGGGGAGAGAAAAGTGTTAATTAGCGGGATGGGATTTGGGGGGGGGGGGGTTAACAACAGTTTAATAAAATTTCATTTTGAATATAACAAAACTTTTGATATATACAAAAACAACTAAATAATTAATTTAAATAATTTTTAAACAGGTTTTAGTAAGGGGAGAGAAAAGTGTTAATTAGCGGGATGGGATTTGGGGGGGGGGGGTTCACAACAGTTTAATGTTGTCTGAGAGAGCCATGGACACCACATATTTTGAAAAGTAATTCTGTGAGAGCCATATATTATGTTTAAAACTAACTAAAAATTCAAGTAAATGTGTGCATTTTGTGTAATTTCAACACTAAAATTGCAATAATTATGTCTCTGAATTCTTTTTAATAACATTGTTATGCTGTTGCTAATCAATAATGAGTATTTCTTACCATTAAAGTGACTTTTTTTTTTAATTCGAACATTTGTCTGCGAGCCAGATGCACCCATCAATAAGGCCATAGGTTCCCGACCCCTGCTCTAAACCATTGTTTCACAAAGTGTGGTACACGTACCCCTAGGGCAGTGATCGGTGAACCCATTAGTCAAAAGAGCCAAACATCAGAAGCAGCATGATTTTAAAAAAATTCCGAGAGCCAAATTTCTTTCAAGAACCTGTCTAGAACCATGTTCTTTGGAGTCAAAAGCGATTGGTGGCCGACTGGCCAAGCCGCACCCAGGCTGCTAAAGAGCCACAGGCGGCTCGCGAGCCGCAAGTTGCCGACCACTGCCCTAAGGGGATGGTTTGGTGGGGGTACACGCTGCAAAGGAAAAAAAAATTTGTTATTAAAGTATATTTAATTTTATTTTTTTAAAGAAGGGTACACGGTGTTACGAAAATTATAAACAGGGGGTACACAGTTGTCGAAAGTTTAGGAAACGCTTCTTTAAAACAAGACGATCAGCTCCCAATAGGACGACCAAGGGTCATCTCTGGTGTTTTGTTAAAGAAATTTCTCTTTTCAGAAAATGTTCACCTCAGTCTTTGCAGTACTTCTCCTTGCCGCCGCCACCATGGCTACCGGATACGGTGGTTACGGATATGGCGGAGGCATCGGTGGATACGGTGGATACGGGGGTGGATTCGGCGGTGGACTCGGTGGATTCGGTCTTGGAGGCGGCATTGGAGGTCTAGGTCTTGGAGGCATCGGAGGCATCGGAGGCTTGGGTCTTGGAGGAGGCTTCGGCGGTCTCGGTGGCTACGGAGGCGGTTACGGAGGTGGCTACGGAGGCGGTTATGGTGGATACGGAAAGGCTGTACTTCTCCCTATTGGTGGTTACGGTAAGCCAGATAAAATAATAATTGACAACTTTTCAGACTTCTTCATTTTTAAATCATTAACCTGCATTCACAGTTAAGTTAAGGCTTGCTAATAAACATTTTAGAGGTAAATATGATAAACTAAAAATACGGCTAAATATGATAGACAGCAATAGGTCGTCAACAAGAAAAAAACTATATCAATTTATTTTACTTTCCAATCATAGATTGTTAAGCTTTTTAAAATAATTAATTCAAGCGAAAGATCATTTTTTCCAAATGGGCAAATAAAAATAATATATAAGCTTCAAAAGTAGCCATGGAAATTCAGGTGCCATGCTGTAGTGTTAAGTTGCCTTGCGAGCATCATGTAAATTGTCTAACGTTGAGCAACGGTGTCTCTTATAAAATCTACACAACCAGAGTATTTGTAAATCGCAATGCACTGCGTCATTGAATCCGACCACAGTAGAATCTTTGAACGTCCTATTAAAGGCAATATCTAAAGAAGTTTGTAAAAAAAATTTTTTTTTAAAATTCCAACATATATAATGTATTTTTGTTTAGTGGACCAATGTACTTATAAAAGTATATGCTTGAATCAGACAGTTTACAACATCAATAGTCTCTCTGTTCTTCAAATAGCTCTTCTTTATCATAATACAGAAATAACTCGCCATACAATGGCGGAAGCGAATGTGTAAAACTTCCCATCTACTAATGTTATTTTACGAAACGTGCATTAAATAAACACACTTTATAAGAATCCCAATTAGTGCTAGCCTCTGAAAATTTTTATTTTTTTGCGTGCCTATTGAACACAACGTTTCAGCTATATTTACTTATCTATAGAATTATTCTTTGTACTAATGTGATTAAGGAGGTGAAGGTTGTATAAAAAAACTACATTCTTAAAGATTTTGTTCTATTTTTCATTCCTAAAGGCAAAGGTTACAACAACTACTATTAAAGTTCTGACCATCATCATATCCCTGCTTCCGACGGCTAACAAGATCTAAGGCAGTGGACTCCATTTGTTATGTTGCGTTCAAACAAGTAAAGAAATAAAATTCTTCTGAAGATACATTTTTTGTTCTTGATAAACTTTTACTCTGATAGTACAGCTAATTTTTGCACGCGGTACAGAAAAAATAAAGGAAGATTTTGTATTCTTAATTTAGCTATGTGCAGATATGAATACGCATACATTTACATTCCAATGTTTCTCCTGCACCGCTTGACCTTTTAAGACAATCGGAATTTCTCTCTCACGATCACGGTGTGATGTCCGGGTGGTGTGATTCCCATGGGTTCCAGGTGCAGGGTGTAACCTCGGCCAAGCTTTAAGTGATAAAGAGAAAGAAACATAACGGGGTTATTGAGGCTTTCCAAACGTTTCGTCGCATCAATGACCGTTGGGTCTTTTTAAAAAAAATAAAAACTTCGAACTTTGTTTTGATGGGACTGGAGAGTACGCAAGGATGTGGTGACCGCATCTAACGTAGACACGCAGGTTATCCTGCTGTGAAATGAATTATGAAGTTGGATGACTCTCGTAAGGAGCCATCACCTGCCCGTGTTAAGGGCTTGTTAATGAAGGTACGTTAGCTACACCAGGGTGCATGAAATGTGTTGGTCCAGTGTGATGTCATCACTAAATATGATCATTCAAAGTTGAAGAGAACGTTGATGGTATTACTAAATGGTAGGCAAATGAAGATATAGCGTTGCTTGAATATAAGTAATACGGCTGTTAAAAAAAATTCAAGGCGAAAAGTATCGTGTTCCTGCATTTTTTTTTCAATCGACAATGAAGGAAAATAATTAATAAATTATTGAGTAATTCTATTATATCCCAACTTTCCCTGGACGGGGTTTTGATGAACAAAGTCCAGGAAAGAGGAAGAGTCACCCAAACCCGTTTCGTTCATCCTTCATTATACCTACCTCATCCTCTCACCGTCGCGGACATACCATGTCTCCTGACCCCTGACTAGTTTATCCCCAAACCGATTCTCCCTACGTTGCTCCACTTACCCCGCACCATTCCCCCTTATCCCAGACAATCCCATCCCTACCTTTGCGAAACAAGCCTTCACCTCTCCTTGCTTTCCCCCTTCCTTGACCCCCTCGGCTTATTTCTTCACTGGACTATTATCATTCCACGCCTAGCCCCTATTCTGCCTTCTCGCCCCTACCCTACATTCTCTACGCTCGTTTCACCTTCTACCCAATACCTTATCCCAAGGACCACCCTCCCCTACTTATTACCATCTCACGGTCTTTTACAGATACATATACATGCCCCTCACCCACTTCATACCTTTTCCCCGAAAACCTACACACGTCTTTTTCTTGTTACCCTGAATCCGTAACCGTCGGACATCTCCATCTTCTCTGATCTCCCTTACCCTTACTTTATCCCAGTGGTTTCCAAACTTTTGTTGGGTCACCACCATGGGCGCCCGCAGAAAACTTTCTAGGGCGGAGGGGGCAAAAAAACTTGATTAACTTTCTAGGGGGGGGGCCAAAATTTTTTTAGTAATGTTTTAATGTAGTTTTAATTTACTATAGTGTATTTGTATGGTGAACGAACGGACAGGACATATGCTTCGTTACTTTCTCCTTATTCTCTCTTTACTTTAATAAATTTTTTTGTCTATTTTTGTCTAAATTTTTTTTATCCAATCAATCCGGGAGGGGGGGGGCAAGTCCCCCTTGCCCCCCCCCCTCCGGGCGCCCATGGTCACCACCCCTTTGGCACCATAAAGCCATCCCTAGCGCCACACTGTGGTTCCTACCTCCCCCCACCACCCCAATCACCCATTATCTGAGGGCATGTGTTTGCAAAATTTGTAAGGAAGATAACAACACAATAAAATATTACATTTTCTTTGTAATTGAACTATTAATTAAAATTTAAGAAATGCATTTTTTTTTTAAAACTTTAATTATTTCAGTAATAAATTTGATTCCTCTAGTTCATCAAAACCGTAGCCTTTAGAAGCTAGTATTCTGAATATGCAATTAGTAAAAATAAACTAATAATTTATTTCTACATCGCTCAGTTATGTGTACTGCTCGTTATGGAAGTGCTTACTAAAGTGACATGATGTGTTCAATATCTGGTTACATGTAACTTAACAACAGTCTTTATAAAAAGAAAAATCAGAAATATGTAATATGTCTTTGCATGGAGAAAAAGCAAAATTCAACTTTTTTAGCCAGTCTGCGGTGTATAGTTATGACTTAAATATTTCATCTGTATCGGAAAGTCTAAGTACGATTTCTTAAAGCTTTAGCTTCAGCTTTGAATTAGGTATTCATCAAAACAACGAAATGTATATATAGCTGTGTATTGATGTATCAATAATAATCAAGAAATAATATAACTATTACCCTTCCCTTAGCTTTATTGCTAAAAACCTCTTTTGCTTAAGCTGAAATGAACTTTAATTTTTGGAACTACTGTATACAAGTAGCTCATCATGAAGCTGTGAGCAGTATTCATAGATGATTAGCTATTCGTCAAAAATACGAAAGGTATATATAGCTGTGTATTGATGTATCATACCCCATCTTAAATTTCAATTTAAAAGACATCCCAAACATCGCTCAGGTACAATACACAAGTGTACGTATTATTAAAAAAAAAAAATCACAGTAGACTTTAAGCAGTAGCGTAACTACGGGGTTCCGACCGCACGGGGTGACACACTCAAAGAGGGTCACGCTAAATGATAAATGACAAATTTAACAGCGTTTCAAAATCGTTTCAAAACAGAGTTCATTTCAGTACATGAGCAGGGTGCCAGAAGATCAAGTTGTCACCAGAGCAGTGTGCCATCCGCCCGCAGGCGTGTCACCAGAGTAGTGTGTAACAGGATCAGGGTGTCACCACAGCAGACTGCCACCAGATCAGTGCCACCAGATCAGTGTGTTACACGACAGAGCAATGTGCAATCAGAGTAGGTTGAAACCAGATAAGGAACCGAACAAAAAATTTTCCCACGAGAGAAGTGTGTCACTAGAGCAGACATACTCAGTGAGGATCATGGGAAAGTCTGATAAGAAGTAGGAGGGCATCATGAGATTACCGCACCGCGACACCCTAGTGACGCCACTGACTTATCATCTTGTACCCCCCCCCCTTTTTTTTTTTGTAGGTCCGACATTTTTGGCTATTGGCCAATGTGGCTAAGATTAGTGTCGTTTAGAGTTTTTGTAGAGTTGATGTGGAATTGATGTAGACTTGATCTAAACTTGATTTAGAGTTGATCTAGAGTTGATGCAGAGTTGTTGTAGAGTTTAAGTAGACTTAATGTAGACTAGATGTAGGGTTGATGTAGAATCGATGTAGAGTTGATGTAGACATGATGCAGACTTGATATAGAGTTGATTTAGAGTGTATTCATTTGGTTTTAATAAGATTGACGTTATAACCCAGCAAGTATAATTTTATGTCATTGAAATATGTACGCATTTTTGGCAATAAGTCGCGTGTGACAAATCTGGGGTCAAGTATCACAATAAAAAGTAAAGAAATAAGGAAATGCGGTAGCGGGTTGTCCTTGATTGTAAACTTTTCTTTAATTTTATAGTTAATTTCATGAGTAGTCAAACGTATGCAGTGCCTCACTATGCGCTCTCGTTCTCCCGTAAAAAAATGAAGCTGTTTTGATTTCTGAATCATGACTAATAAACTTTCGTGAAAAATAAAGACAGGAGAAATAGTAGCTAGTACGGTGATGACTCCCATTAGGTAACACAATGGCCTTAAAAAGGTTTAAAATGAATATTTTATTGTTTGAAATACAGTCATTGGCCCGTGAGATTTGTATCACTAGAGTGGATAAATGTGGTGAAATACTTTATTATTTCTGCGTCCATTGTTTGTAGAAAATTATGTCGATGGCCATTCTTTAAAGTGCGTTTAAAACTTTTGTACAGGATTTTGATTTCCCCTTGCTAAGTAAATATTTCTTGCTTCTCATAGTTGCGTGTACTCTTTGACTCATCTCTACTCCTGACTCCTCTTAATAGTCGATAAAAATCCAAGAATCACAATTTTTTCTTCTTTTTTTTTCAAAATTATAAAAAAAAGGTTTTAAAAAAAATATTTCTGACATAATCAACCACTGCTCCAATATGTAATCCTAACGCCCCCCTCTCCTTTAATCTACTGTATTTTACCCCCCCCCCTCCAACATCCAACCCACTTTTTGAACCACTGCTCTATCCCAGCTATCCTCAACTGCTCTCTATGACTCTCCACGTTATTGCCTCTACCTCCTAATCTTTCCTGCGTCTTTTCAACATCTTCCCTTCACCGTCTTCATACTCTCACGTCTTGATATGTAAGCCCTACCCTGAACTACCCTTGTCCTAAATACCCTCTTCACGCTAAAACTCCATTTAAAAAAAAAAACAAAAACACATTATACTTAAGGTTCTTTCCAGTCTTTATTAGATGTGCATTTTTTTTCTCTCTCTTAAGTTTATCAATATTAGATACTAGATCCTTGGCCTGAAAAGCTGCAGAAAGTAAACAAATATTTCTTACGATTTCTTCAGTTTTAGAACTGGTCAAAACGTCATCAGTCATTCATTGAAAACACTCTCTAACAAATCACTTCAATCGTTGCGAATATAGTGAAAATCTAAACATCCATTCATAATTATTCTTTTGTTGGTTACTTAAAATTTATTATTTTTAATCAGTAAGGTATTGTTTTTGTGTGTGTTGTTTTGGAATAGTTCTGCTTTATGTATTCCAAATTCGTGTTACGCATGAGACTGGGAACATTTTATTTTTTCCAGTTATTTAGAGCTGTTGCAATCACTGATTGATTTTGAGGCGATATCAAATTTCTTTTCGATTTTTCAATTGATAGTTTTACATTAAAATATTTCCGGTAGTAAAGTGACTAAGCCTCAAATAAAATGATATGCTGATGTATATGAGATTACACTTTTTGAATTATGCTACTTTTGGAAAAAAAACAGCTTTGATTTCGATTGCTTCTATCTTGATATTAATTCACTTACGAGATAGACTTAAGTATGCAAAACCCAAAAAGCCAAAAGTCGTTTTTTTTCCAATGAAATACCTGCATAACGTAACCAAAAAAAAAAAGCAATTTGAACACCTGTCTATAAGTTATTGGTTTTTATTATCCACATTGCAAATTGCTCATTACGAATAAACTCTGACGTCAAACACATTCCATTTAGTAGTAGTAGCTTCCCTTGCCTGAAAATGAAAATGTTAATTAAGGAATAAGTTTAAAATTATTGGATGTTAGGAAAACGATACTTAGGCTACCCTAAAATTGTTAAAGATGTTACTTGGTAGGGACTTTATCCATTAAGATTAAATCGTCTAGCTCGTAGCTGAGTAAACAAATGTGATTGCTACCAAATTAATATAAATGTTGGAACTAATATTTCTCGGGTCAACTAAGGTAACGTGTGGACTCGGTAATCGAGCATTTGATATATCTTACCGTAGCCGTATCCTCCCCATCCTCCACCAAGTCCTCCCCAGCCACCTCCGAGTCCTCCCCAGCCACCTCCGAGTCCTCCCCAACCGCCGCCTAGGCCCCAGTTTCCGAGACCTCCACCGTAGCCCAAGCCTCCTCCGTAGCCTAAGCCTCCACCAAGGCCTCCGTAGCCGTAGTTACCATAGTATCCTGTGGCGCTGGTGAGAGCGACCAGGAGAAGAACGGCGAGGACAGATTTGTACATGGTCTGTTGGAAGAAAAGAAAACAGCAAGTAAAAAATCTTGGTTCGTTCTAAAATGAATAAAAACACCCACCGCGTGTTTACAGTCACTGGTTCCGTGTGCTCACAGTCACTGGTTCCACGTGATTACAGTCACTGGTTCCACGTGATTACAGTCACTGGTTCCGTGTGCTCACAGTCACTGGTTCCACGTGATTACAGTCACTGGTTCCACGTGATTACAGTCACTGGTTCCGTGTGCTCACAGTCACTGGTTCCACGTGATTACAGTCACTGGTTCCACGTGATTACAGTCACTGGTTCCACGTGATCACAGTCACTAGTGTGCAGATTTAAACATGCAAATATCAATTCACTGCTCCACTGTGGTGGCAGATGGGTGGTTGATTCCTGCCAGACGGTCATAATGAAAAAGTCTGAGACGTCCTGGTCTAAGAAGTTCACTCTATTGTTTGATATCAGATAATACGTTTAATAATTTTTAAAGTCTAATAATGTTTTGGTATATTGAGTATTACATTTAAAACCTGTATTTAATATGTGTATGCGGAGTGGTATTTAAATGCTCATATATACTGTATTGTTGTGTAGTACAAAAATATAGTTATTTACTATCTTCGATAAAAGACTACAATGTACGGGCACACAGGCCCACTTTAAGTTATAACTTTTAAAAACAGTCCATTAAATAAAGAATATGACGTTTAATATTTTATTATGTTGAGTAAAGAAAACAAATTGTTTGTTAAATATATTTTTTTTAAAAATAAGTATACGCTCATGCGTCAAGTGCATAACACAGCTGATTTCCACATGTTATAATTGGCTCAAGTCTACGAGATGGATCATTTTTGTGACTGCTTAATGCGATCTACTAAGAAAAGCCTTAAGATATCATCAGTGTTCTTTCTAACCAAAACTGTATTAAAAATATTTGCAGACAAGATGAACGCATTGATTCCGTTTCTGGTTGTTTATAGAAATGGATGTTTACAGCAACGATCTAAACTGTTCTCTCGGTGCTGTTTGTTTGTTTGTTTGTTTTAAAGTTATTTATATTTTCTAGGAGTTTTTACATTTTTATAAACATTTAAATAAACATTTATTTTATAACGCTATTATTCAGTCAGTGAATGACTCAAAACAGAGTATTTAATTTATATTTTGTTTTGAAAAACCTGTACGCGTTATACCGAGATGACGTCTACTATACTCTTATGTAACTCAACTATCCGAAAAATTTCCAAAAACGATCCAGCGGCTTACAGAGTTTAACTTACAAAATGTGTGGCCTGTTGGTTAGACAGATGTCGAATGACAGTGTTACACCGATGGCAGGAATGTTTGGACATCTGGACAAGCCAGTTTTTATACACACGGATTGTGGACCCGGAAGATTACCCCCAAGGCACCCGTCTTCAACGTCTGAATTAAATAAATATGAAGTCCTCAACCTCGACCTTGGTGAAGTGAAAGGGGCGAGATGGGCGAGCTATCGCCATGATGACACGTGACATGTGGCGGCATGCGTTTCAGCTGAATGAAATTCAGAAAATGTACTTGGTCCAAGGCGGTGTGCGAGAGTGACTGACGGGTTAATCTTCAGTGAAACAGGTCACTATGGGATTAATTAATCAGCTCGGGGCTTAACATTGGATTTAAGCATGTGATTACTGATTTTTTTTCCCCGAAAGGCTCGTAAATCAATTTTACGAATTGATGAAAAGTGTTCTCGTGATTTTGATTAAGTTACTCAAAATAAATCATTGGCTATTGCAGTAATTCCTAATTTGTTTTTATATCAATTTAAACATGTTAAAAGAGGAGCAGACATTTTAGAAAGTTAATTTTTCTAACTAGACTAGTGAGCATGGGCGCCCGCAGAAAACTTTCTGGGGGGGGGGGGGGGGGGGAGAAAAAA